AGGGGAAGGACGATGGTGGCAGCCCCCGACCTGCCCTGTGCCCACCTCGTTGGGCCTGTTAACCACAGCGATGTTGTAACTATACTGGAAGGTCAAGCCAAAGGCTGCGCTCAGGCTCACCAACAGCAGCGTGGGCTGGAGTCTTGGTGGGAGATGGGGCTATGGTCAGGAGCTCTGGGGGGTCACCCTCGGCCCCCGGAAATGGGGAGCAGGGAACCCACGCTGAGTCCAGCTGGAGGTGGCGGATGGCTAGGGGCAAGGATGGCCACCCAAACACTCATTCCCTCCTGGAAGACCTGTCTATGCATGTCCTCTGTGCCTGGCCCTGGACCAAGTGGGGGCAGCTTCAAGGACAAAGGTCCACCAGCATGCTGCCCTCATGGAGCATGAGGGGGCCACCCTCAAAATTGTACACATATGCGAAATCCAAATAACAATAATGTGAGGACAGTAAGACGGAGTGATGGGTTGGAAGCCAATGGGGGCTGACGGGCTGGGTTCGGTAGGCTGGATGGGGAATGTGCCTCTGAGGAGGAGCCTTTGGGCTGAGATCTGAATGGATGAGATGAGGCAGCCTGTGAGCTTCTGCAGAAAGAAAGTTCCAGAAAGAGGGAGCAACAAACCGACGCCCTGAGAACATACATGACTTGTCTTTTACTGCAGGACAGGCCTTCAGGAAAACCAAGACAATCACTCTTCGCGGCTTGCTACAGCACCCAGGACAGCTCAGGGGTGGCTGAATTGGGGCAGGCTCTGTGGCTGCGGCCTAGGGCTCTAAAACGGCAGCTGGAGGGATCCCTGGGTGGCTCGGTGGTTTAGCGCCTGCCTTCAGCTCAGGGCGTGATCCTGGAGACCCGAGATCGAGTCCCATATAGGACTCCCTGCGTGGGGCCTGCTTCTCCCTCTGCCTGTGTCTCTGCCTCTCTCTCTCTCGCTCTCTCTCTCTCATGAATGAATATAAATAAATAAATAAATAAATAAATAAATAAATAAATATCTTAAAAAAAAAGAAAGGTAGCTGGACCATTCCCCTCAAAACTTCGCTTGCCTTGATGCTCCCATGAGACCCACCATCCCCATCAGCTGCCTGGCCTGGCACCCCTGGGAGTCAGCCTGGCAGACAAGAGCAGGATGAGGCACCTTCAGGGGCCAGGGTGTGGGTGTGGGGGGAGAACAGGACCGGGCAGAGGCTGGAGGGCAGGTGGCATCTCTGAAGTGCCCCAGCCTCCCACAATTCACTAGCTCTGACTCAGCCCCCTGTCCTGCATCTGAGCTGAGATGTTAGGGGAAGCTACCTGCTCACCACCCCCAACCCCGCTCTCTCAGAGCTGGCAACTCCCCAGGCAAGGCAGGAGCAGTGCCGTCCTCTCCTTGCTGAAAGCATTTCTGGAGCCTTCCTCTTCCCCCACAGGTTCCCTCTTCCCATAGGACAGGGATGGTAACAGTAGTCTCAGCACTTACCCCTCCTCGGGTGGAGTGGGTGGAGGAGTCCCTGTCTCCTTTTTTCTCCAACCCTGTTCAGGTGAAAAACAGTGCACCCTGCTTCCGAAGGGGCACCTGGGTCCTGCTTCGCCCTGACAGCTTGTAGCACCACCCGTTTCTCCCCCGGGGCCTGCATGGCTTTATAACCCTCTGGCCTCTGGACGCTGCTGAGGGAGTACATTTTCCTTGGACATGTTGACTGATAAGATAAGACTCACACGCTGCGTGAATTTTGTCTGTGCCAAACCAGAAGCTCCACAGGTGCGCCTAGGAGGGGAAAACACCATGTGTCCCTAGAAATGAGGATTCTTGGAAACCAGGTCGGGCCTGATTGCCTGGATGTGTTATGCTTCTCCTGTGTTATTTCTCCGTCTGCGCCTCCTCTTACGAACCTGGACTAATTGTCCATTTAGAGGAAAGAGCAAAGTAAATTAAAAAAAAAAAACAGCTTATTTATTTCTAATTACGCTTAGTAGTATTAAATAAGCCATTAGAATTTTGAACAAAGGTTCATTTCAGATTCACTCTATCAGCTAAATAAAAAAAGCGGGGGTTGCCTGGCTGGCTCAATGTGTAGAGTGCACAAGTCTTGGTCTCGGGGTGGTGAGTTCAAGCTCCACAATGGGTGTAGAGATCACTTAAAAATAAAATCTTTGAAAAAAAGAGAGTGACTGAATAGCTTATGACAGCATCGCCTGACTGGAAGGCCAGGCTGCCATTTCAAAACAGAATTATGAGCATTACGTAGGAATGTGGACGCATACTGTGGACGTTATATGAAATGACCCAAGCAGAACACACGGGTGTGCGCAGGTCATGGTGTACCGAGGACATGTCACAGGGTAGAGGGGATCCTGAGTCCCTATTTCCCCTAATGCTCTGCTCATGACAATTTAGGTATTCTCTAAAGGACCAGGCTATGTTTTCTCTGCTGCAGCCCCTGCTCCTCCCAAGGCCTGGAGTGCTGATCCATTAGGAAGGCATGTATCTTTGGTCCCTGCTCTCTCAGCTGCCTAAGAACGGGCCCTGAGCCCTAGACATTTCCTTAGCGAGATCACACGGCAAAGTCCAGCTGATGGCAAAACCAAGCTCCTTCCTGCTGCTCTTCCCGCTTAAAACATTCCTTCTCCCTATCGCAGGACAAATGTTGCCTCCCGGGAACATCTTCTCTGGGACCACCCTTCCAAAAGTAAGCCCCACCCATCACCTGGCACGCTCTGAACACTATCTTGAGTATTCTCTGCGATAACCTTAAGTGCTTATTTACTTGTATTTTTGGCCACTAGATCCGTTATAGCCAATGCCTGACACATAGTAGGTGCTCAACAAATATTTGTTGAATGAATATCCTTGATTGACAACGTTCATCATCATGCTGCTCCCTCTTCCACTAGGTGCAAACACCTTTTCCACCGCACCTGTACAGATCTCGCCCATTCTTTTTTTTTTTAAGATTTTATTTATTTATTCATGAGAGAGAGAGAGAGAGAGAGAGGGAGGGAGAGGGAGAGGGAGAGGCAGAGACACAGGCAGAGGGAGAAGCAGGCTCCATGCAGGGAGCCCAATGCGGGACTCGATCCTGGGACTTCAGGATCGCGCCCTGGGCCAAAGGCAGGTGCCAAACCGCTGAGCCACCCAGGGATCCCCCAGATCTCGCCCATTCTTGAAGGCTCGGCCCACTGTTGATCTTTTCTTCAAAGACCGTTCCAGTTCACATTCATTCATTCAACATCTGTGAGATGCCAGCGAGGGCCAAGCTCCCTGCTCAGATGATTAAGTCAGTGCTGAGAGCAGGCTCGGAACGAGACACACAGGTCTCCCATTCTGTCCTCTCTTATTGCCACTCCAGGGCAATGCGGTTTTCAGATCACTGGCTAGACTGTAGACTCTTTGCAGACAGAATATGCCCCACATGCGTCACCGCCGTGTTGCTCAGTCAACAGGCTGGGGAACAACAGGAGGAGGACGAAGATGTAGCATTTGCGGGTAAGAGCCGAATCTCATGTGTTTCCACGGCAGCTCCCTGTCTCCTCATTCTTCCTCCAGGAACCCAGGAACCAGCCCTGGAGGGGGCAGATTTCAGATGGCAAGATCCGGGGAGCCCGATGTGAGACTCGATCCCAGGACCCTGGGATCACAACCTGAGCCGAAGGCAGATGCTCATCCACTGAGCCACCCAGGTGCCCCCAAAGTGGGACTTTAGACACAGTCCACAAGCCCTCCTGGTCCTGAAGCCTGCGTCCCAGGGGGGAGAGGGCAGTGTAGTGAGGCTTCTACAAAGAAACCTCTGCTCAGCTGATAGTTGATTTTGTGATCACATCTTTCCTGTAAATTACATGAAATAATGTGCTTTCTTTTAAATGGTCTCTTTCTCATTATAATAGTAGTCTGGAGTTTCTCCTTCTTCTTTGTCATGTTTTTGCTTGCAAAAAAAAAAAGGGGGGTGGGGGGAGTCCAGTCCAACACAGTCCACTGAATCTTGTTTTTAAAGATTTTATTTTTGGGATCCCTGGGTGGCGCAGCGGTTTGGCGCCTGCCTTTGGCCCAGGGCACGATCCTGGAGACCCAGGATCGAATCCCACATCAGGCTCCCGGTGCATGGAGCCTGCTTCTCCCTCTGCCTATGTCTCTGCCCCTCTCTCTCTCTCTCTCTGTGACTATCATAAATAAAAAAAAAAAAAAATGTGGGATCCCTGGGTGGCGCAGCGGTTTGGCGCCTGCCTTTGGCCCAGGGCGCGATTCTGGAGACCTCAGATCGAATCCCACGTCGGGCTCCCGGTGCATGGAGCCTGCTTCTCCCTCTGCCTGTGTCTCTGCCTCTCTCTCTCTCTCTCTCTGTGTCACTATCATAAAAATAAATAAAAATTTAAAAAAAAATGTTAAAAAAAATAAAGATTTTATTTTTAAGTAATCTCTATGCCCTCGAGTGGGACTCGAACGTGGGACTCGAACTGACAACCCGGGCATCAAGAGTCACATACTCCACCAACTGAGCCAGCCAGGTGTCCCTAGTCCACTGCATTGTCATCTATGAAATCCAGAAGCGTGGAACCGACTGGTGAAAGCCACCTGCCACCCTCCTGATGGGGTGATGAATGTGCTCGTTGCCTTGGGGCTGGTGACCGCTCTCAGGTATAGTCTTTGCAGTGTCACCTCAGCCTCACTCTGTTCCGCCTTTATTTACCTGAACTGCTCCCAGCAATACTCAGCCACTCAGAAAACATTCAGTGAGCCCCCGCCATGTGCCAGCCCCTGCACTTGGCACTGTGCACATTGCAGCGAGTAAACAGGGTCCATAGCCCCCCTCTCCTCCTCCTCTCTCACTTGCTAATTGCCCTGACCTTGACTGACCTTGGTCAGCATCCAAAGAACCTCCAACCTTCTGACACTTTGCAATTCTCCCAAACTATCTTTTCTCCTCCATTTTCACTTATCTTTGTTGCCACCTTGGCCCCCAGTGGTCTCCAAACCTTTTCTGTAGTACTATTCCATCAGTAATAAAGTTTTGAACACAAACCTCCAGTGTATGTGTATTTATTTTTTATAAGTTATGTACATGGACATGTCATGTGATAAAGCACACACTCAAACAGGAATCGTAAAAGGAGGAAGCAAGAAATACAGTAGCCCCCCATTATCCATGGGGGATCCACTCTCAGACCCCCCATGAAACTGTGGATAGCACCGGACCCTGGGTACACTGTTTTCTCCTACATAAATACCCGTGATCAAGTTTAATTTATAAATTAGGTACAGTAAGAAATCAACAATAAAACACAATAGTTTCACCATTATACTGTAATAGAAGTTATGTGAATGTGGTATCTGTCTTCTGAGCCCCAGAGCCACGTGTCTGATGTCCTTCTGGACATTTCTTCCATATGTCATGAGCTTCTCCATCACAACATGTCCAAAAATGTTACTATCTTTTCCCCAAACTTGCCAGTCTGTTCCCAACACCTTTCACCACTGGCATGTCAGAAACCGGGCAGGGCACCAGGTGCCTCACCTGTGAGGGCTGAGTGGTCCCTAAATCCTACAGGTCTCTCTCTGAATTCTCTCATGTCTCAACCCAACCACTGCTGGCTCTGGAGGGCCCCCCTATCTCTTACCCACTGTACCCACTGCCCCTCCCCCACCTTTTTATTACTGCCACAGCCCTCCCTCAGACCCAGTGATCACCCAACACCCAGGTTGTGTGGAGGGCCCCAGACTCACTTTGGCTCGCAAGGACCCACACCTTTCTGGCTTCATTTCAGACAGACCCGTACGTCCCCTGAACACCTCCACAGTGCCATGCGGCTCTCACCTGGAACACCCATCCTCCACTTTCCTACTGCATCTTCTGCACTGGAGCGATCCTGTGGTCTTCCCTGGTTCTACACCTTCCTTGTGCAACCACAGGACCAAGCCCAATCCTCTCTCTTGTGTTTTCTGACCCATTAAACATATCTGTAAGTGGCTTTTTCTTTCTTTCTTTCTTCTTTCTTTCTTTCTTCTTTTTTTCTTTCTTTCTTTCTTCTTTCTTTTTCTTCTTTCTTTCTTCTTTCTTTCTTTCTTTCTTCTTTCTTTCTTTCTTTCTTTCTTTCTTTCTTTCTTTCTTTCTTTCTTTCTTTTTCTTTCTTTCTCTTTCTTTTTAAGAGAGGGGTTGGGGAGGAGAGGGAGAAAATCTTAAGCAGGCTCCAGGACATAGGGCTTGATCTCGACCCTGAGATCATGACCTGAGCCTAAATCAAGAATCAGATGCTTAACTCACTGAGCCACCCAGGCGCCCCAGTATTTCTATATGTAGCAATCTGTGTTTATATTAAACTGAATGTGAGATACTAGTATCTCCAACATTCATCTAGGGCCACATGGATCGTCCTAGGCTCCCTGTCTTGGCTTATTTGCACCAGTGAGATGGCTCTCACCATCTGTCATTCTTTTGCTTAATTGCTTAATCCCAGTTATACATGCACAGTGGTCTCTCACTGCATATTTACCTGTGGGTTTATTTGTCCTCAAGATCAATGCTCATTTTCAAGCTCTTAAAAATAACTAAATACATAATGCATGCCAGCCGCTGATCTAAACACCGTAAACATATTCTTTCATCCTCGTAACCATGTGAGACATCTGCTATTAGCTCTGTTTAACAGAGGAGGAAACTGACATACAGAAAAGCCGAGCAAGGAGCCCCTGTTGCACCATAACTGAGAGGCAGGACCAAGGACTTAAGCTCCAGTCTCCTGGATTCTGGAATCCCGGAGGGACCACTCCTCCGTGCTAAAAGCTCCCGTGTGTGGCTGTTTCCTGTGCCCCCTTGCACACAGTGTGTCCCTGCAGCAGGAGGTCAAGGGTGGTCCAACCACAGCGGGGTACTATTCACTTCTGGACTCTCGCTACTCTTACAAGTTATTTAATTCATCACCTGTGGGATCCCCATCCCACCCCTATGAAAGCTGCTCCTAATTCCACCTCTGATCCACGTGGCCCTGGCTCTGCTTCCCTCATGCCTGGGAGCAGGTCTCCATTCTGTTCTCCACCTCCCTTGAGCCCCTACCTCTCTAAGAAGAGTCTCTAGCTCTGCCTCATGTGTGGGGGCAGGGGCATTCCTCCTTCTCCTGACCCCTCACTTCCAGGACCCCTTGGTGTTTGCTATGCACCTGAAGACATGCAAAGGAGCCCCAATCTTAAATTTTTAAAAATCACAACTTTGTAACCACCTCATCTCTTGCTTCTCCCCTTCTTCCTCCAAATACTGTCTGAGTGCCTCCTCCACCCCAGGCTCTGTTCTAGGCAGAGGGATGCCGGGACAAGCAAAACTGGCCAAACTTACATCCTTGAGGGGCTGGTGCCGCAGCACATTTAATCTGCTTGAAGGAACAGGGAGCACCCAACCCCATGCCTTCTACCTGCTTTTAGGAAAGAAGTGTGTATTGGTGAGAAGTGATCATACGTGTTTTATTGAGCATACAGAGGCAATGCCATTGTCCATCAGCAATATAATTCAGGATTAATCATCTCTGAACTCAATTAAAGTCTCCAAAGGGACCTGCCCCAGCTTCTCAGATATCACACTTTGTAGGACTGGTATTTCTGAAGATGGACCTGGCAAGAGGAAGGATCCCTCTGAATACAGGCCTCTGGCCCTGAGAAGACCCATGGGATTGCAGAAGAGTTCCTTTCTCTGGCCAGAGGCGGTTCCTTCCATCCCATCACTGTAGTGATGATTTTCGTTGTAAGAGCAGGTGTTATCGGGAGCTACTACCCCAGGGCTAGCCCAGCACGGCTAGACGCACCTGCTCACGGTGAATCAGGAATGGTGGTGGGTCAGTCTGGAGAGAGACACCACAGAAGCCCTTTGGACAGTCCCAGTGGGGCCTGCATTCCACCTGGGCTGGTCCTCATTCTGGATGCTCGCAGACAGCTACTGGTCAGGAATAAAAGCCCAGAGGGAAGCTCCACACAGACCCGCTTGGCAGGCTCCTCTTCTGGAGTTACTGCCCCAAACTAGAGAGCGGGAAGTCCTTTAGTTCCTCCTTTTCTGGGTGCACCTCTGACACCTTATTCATCTTGGTGAAAATCTGATTGATTTCCATGAATGTCTTGGCCTTGGTCTCGGGGACAACCAGGAAGATGTAGATGGTGGTGAGGAGACATATCACAGCAAAAATGATGAAGCTGTAAGCTCCAAGGCCCACCTGAGGGAAGGGGATCAGGGTTCACTTTCTCGAAAAGGTTCTCCCTTTCCCCCTTGGGGATTCGTGCATCTGGGTCCCCTGGGTCCCACTCACCTGAATGAACGGGAAGATCAAGCCCACGGTGAAGTTGGAAAGCCAGTGGACACTGCCACCCACCATGAAGGCCGACGGCCGGGAGGACTGCAGGAAGATCTCCGTGATGAGCAGCGCGGGGATGGGACCTTGGGAGGCAGAGTGAGAGAAGAGGAAGAACTGCCTCCTCTGAAAGCAGAGCAAGACCACACGGGGTCTTCGAGCCCCTCCTGGTCAGGGCACCCAAGGCAACGGGCCCAAGGGCCAGTATGTCTCCAGTACCCCAGGGCTTGTGGAGAAGCAGGGTAAGAAGACCAACAGCAAGAATTTGGCTCCACAGGTGACACTCTGTGACGTCCCTAAAAGGGGCCCATGACCACCCTCAAGGCTCTCTACGCCAATCATATGGCCCATTTCAACGCACACAGTCCAGGCTGCTTTACTAATTATGCTCTGTCCAAACCCCTTTGCAATAAGAAGGTAGGGGGAGAAGCCTTTTGGGGGCTGTATCCGGTCTCCAAGGAGCCTCTTCCAGGGAACAGAGGTTTGTAGGGCTGATGGTGCAGGGGAAGAGATGCAGAAAGCATAGAGCCGGCTCTGGGGTACATACTGGGCCCAAGGGCGTGTCCTACGACATAGCAGATGACACAGGCAATGCTGACATAAGGCATCCAGGATATTGTGTCCTGTGGGGAGAGAACAGAGTTGGATCACACCTGCAAAGCAGGGACAACCAGGGATGGGGAACGTCGGGGATTTGGGTCCTCAGAGGGCCAGCCGCTCTGCAAGGGCTGGGGGAGGAGGGCACCTGGCTCCTCCAACAGGCAGCACCCCCCAGAGGCCTCCAGAAAATCAGCCATCAGTGGCAGTGGGCTGCTTTGGGGTGGGGGCCCCGGGGGCCTGCAGATGGTCCCCAGCCATCTGATTCATTGTAGCTGCTAAAAGACCATTTTGGTCTTCCCCCTCATACTGCAAGCGCGGGCTCAGGGGGTGGACAGAAGACTCCTGGCTTCGCCCGAGCCCCAGCTGCCTCACCTGCAGGGCCAGAGCAGCCGTCAGCACACAGCAGGCCGTGAAGCAGACAGAGAAGCCCAGAAGGAGCAGGAACCTGCGTCCCAGGAGCTCCACCACGAACGCCTGCAAGGGAGGGGGTGCAGGATGAGCAGAGAGGCTCAGAGCCCTGCGGGACAGGAGGCCGCACCTCTGCCTGGAGCTGCCTTCCCGGGAAGCCCCCGCTCGTCCCACACACCCCTTCTGGAGGGGCAGCTGTGAGGAGACGCGGGCAGGCCGTGTGCCCACTTGCCCATGTGCGTGCCCCTCAGCAGGCCCCCACGCTGTCCAGTCCAGGGGTCCCACGCGTTCCTGGCACAGGAAGCAACCCCAAATGCCAGACATTGGGGAAGAGCCACTTCACACAGTGGAAGCTTCCAGACTCGGGAGCAGGGGTCCCCACCTTGGGGGGGTTGCACAGGCTGCCTCCTAAGAGACAGGCTGTCATCTGACAAGAGCCAGAGGCTGCAGATGAGAAGACCAAGAGGCACCTCGGATCTGGCTCTTTCCTTGGCTAGGACCCTCCCCCCGCAAGATGTCCTTCATCCATGGTGGCTGTCGCAGACTCACGGCACAGATGGTCATCAGCACGTTGACAGCCCCGGTGCCCACTGTCACATACTGGACATCATGATCGTTCACCCCGGCACTCAGGTAGATCTGGTCTGCATAGTAGTAGATCTGGAAGGTACCCAGAGGCTGGTGGGGCCCTCAGGGCAATGCCTGTGATGCCGCCACCCCCCTGATGACACCGCCCCCTGGACGCACAGCCCCCAGCCCCCATACCGCGTTCACTCCCGACAGCTGCTGGCCGCCCATGAGGATGATGATGGAGATGACCTGCCACCGCAGGGACCTCATGCTGAACAGCTTCAGCACGGAGATGAAGCCTGCCGCCTTCTCGGCCTCGTCCTCCTGCTGGATCTCCTCCATCTCCCAGTCCACGTTGTCCCAGCCTCGCAGTTTCTTTAGCGCTAATGGCAGGGAGCAGGGCGTCGGCTCAGGGTGCCCCAACTTCCCAGAGCCAAGACGCTGCGGCCTCTGTCCCCTGCCCACTCTGCCCCACACAGTAAAGCCTCACCATTTCTGGCAGCATCTTCATCCTTCTTCTGGATCAGCAGGTACCGGGGGCTCTCGGGGAAGAAGGGCAAGAAGAGGAGCTGCAGAGCCGCCGGGATGCCAGTCAGCCCGAGGAGGATCGGCCAGCCTGCAGGGGTGCCGGTGTCCACGTGAGAGCCGGCCCCAGCCAGGTCACCTGCCCTCTGTGCCCCCAGCACCTGCTCTCCCAGGTGCCACTCTGTCCCGAGACCTGGACTGGTTTCCTTAAGGGCTGGACACAGAGCTGGTGACACTGGACACCCTCCCATGCTCTGATGCAGCATGCCACTCAGGACTCTGCTGGGGCCACCAGGACACCTGAACTAGAATGGCCCGAGCAGCACTGACCATCAAAATGAAAACCACAAACAATGCAAATGTCTGTGATGGTAGAATGGATGCACGAACACGGTGTATTCACAGAACAGAACTCTACACTGTGCTGAAAACCCCCACAGGAGCCAAACTTGGTGGTGGCGGCAGTGGTCCACACAATGGTCCAAAACTGGATGAAGTCCAGAAACGGAAAATTAGCTTGATCTTTGCAAAAAGTGACAAAAAAACTATAGGGAGATGCAAGGATGAGATGGTAAACGTCAGCACAGTTGGCTCCCCGTGGGGGTGGGAAGGCCATGGTTGAGGGGCCTGCAGAAAGCTTCCAGTGGGGTGAGGTGTCTGGGAGGCCAAGTCGGTGACGTGTCTGCCTTTGGTCCTGATTTTAGGGTCCTGGGATTGAGCCCCATGTTGGGGCTCCTTGCTCGGGGGGAATCTGCCTCTCCCTCTGCCTCTGCCCTTCCCCTTGCTTGTGCTCAATCTCTCACTAACTCTTTGTCAAATAAATAAAATATTTTTTAAAAAGCAAGCAAGCAAGCAAGCTTCTAGGGGACTGGCCTGGTTCTAGTTCCAGATCTGTGTCCAGACTGAGCACCGGTGTTTGATCTCTGACAGAGCAAAGATATGTCCATTTATGTCTTATGTGCTTCTCCTTTCTTATGTTATTTTGCACAATAAAAATGGTCCAATGAGTGAATGAGTCGTTCAGGCCCCTTCTAGGAGCTCTTAACACCTTGACTCTCCCCCTTTTCTCCTAGGGCTTGCAGTCAGTGACGATGGTGGACATCTGCATGCCAGGCACTGTCCTAATGGCTCTCCGTGTGTTAATTCACTTCCCCATCACAGCCACGTTGTGAGGCAGGTGCCAGGACCAACCCCACCCCATGCCTACAAATGCAGGCACAGAGGCCACAGGCCCCGTGCCCAAGATCAGGGGCAAAGCTCAGAGCCAGACCCAGGCAGGCTGAGCCCTGGGGACTCTTCACCACCTGTTATACAGACTGAGGCTCAGACTTAGGTGACAGCCTTGTGACAACGAGCGAGTCTCACTCCTGAAATGGAAGAGGAGTAAACAAAGAACACCCGCATTTAGACATCATCTTTTTCTCTCTCTCTCTCTTTCTAAGATTTTATTTCTTTGAGAGAGTGAGAGCAGAGAGAGCCAGCAGGGGAAGGGGCAGAGGGAGAGGGCAAAGCATATTCCCCGCGGATTAGGGAGACCAACGTGGGGCTCGATCCCACACCCCAAGATCATGACCTGTGCTGAAGGCAGACGCTCAACTGGCTGAGCCACCCAGGCACCCCGACATCATCTTTCTCAAGTCCCGTTTCAACCCCTGAACCTTCCCCCTAAGAAAATGATCCCGTGCAGTAGGTTCAGCTTCTGCCCTGCCCACTGCTCCGCTGGGTGGCTCATCGCTTTCCCGACCTCCTCCCTTCCCTTGTCCTGAATCCAGGGCTCCGCTAATCCCAGACTCTGACTCAATCACCCTGTATAGCCCACCACACATATGGACTCATCTCCGATTTGGGCCACTGCCCTCTGACTCTGGCCCCCACCCCACCCCCTACATGGAAACTCCTCTTGGAGACCCCAAACTGCCAAATTCAGACACCCTGTTGCAATCTTTTCAAGAAGATTGTCAGACCTCTTCACAACCACTGCACCGTGACTGCCTGCCTCCTGCACTGCTACTCTCTGGGCTTCCTTCCCTCCTTCCTTGTTCTTGAGCATCTGTTACGTGCCAGGAATTGTGCTGGAGATTCAATGACGAATAAGGCCAAAGCTCTGTCCAGAGGAAGGGCCCCAACAGGGAAATAGCCTCAAAAAAGGATGGAGGGACAAATGCAGCCCACACAACACTTGTAGTGCCCTGAACACACAGAGACTTTCTGCACTTCTGCCCCCATGCCCGTCAGGAATGCCCATCCTCCTCTCCCCGCTGCCCCAATCCGGGCTCCCTGCTGTACACTGGCCAAACACTTCATGGGACACCAGGGCTCTGCACATTGCCCTGCGTCCTGCTGATCATTTACGTGCCATCACTGGGAGACAGGAAGTTAGCCCTGTGACCCCTGGTCCCTGCTCCTTATGAGGGGCATTGAAAGGGGGATCAGTGTTTAACATGGACCTAGGCCCAAGCCACCTGGAGTGCATCCTAATGAGACTTCAGACATGTTATCCAATCTCTCTATGCCTCAGGTTCCACATCTGTAAAATGGGCATAATAAGTATCTGCCTTATAGAGTTGTTTGGAGGATTGAATGGAATTAAGATAAAGACATAGTGCCTGGCCCCCAATAAGCATGTTATACATTTTGGTTGGCGTGACTATTTTTTTTTAAGGATTTTATTTATTTATTTGACACAGAAAGAAAGAGAGAGAAAGAGAGAGAGCACAAGTAGGAGAGCAGCAGGCAGAGGGAGAGAGAGAAGCAGACTCCTCACTGAGCAGGGAGCCCTATGCAGGGCTGGGATCATGACCTGGGATCATGACCCAAGCTGAAGGCAGACACCTAACCCACTGAGCCACCCAGGCACGCTGCAAGTATCACTGTCTTTGCCTGTTACCGAGCACCTACTATATGCTGGACTTGGGCTCTCGAGGAGGGAAGCATGGGGTCTGCAGCCATCCTGAGCTTACCTTCTTTGTTTGCAAGGAGGTTCCGAAGACCAAAGATCTGGGCCACAAGGATGCCGACAGTGATGAAGACCTGAGGTACCACCCCGAGGGCCCCCCTCAGATTTTTAGGAGCCAGCTCCCCCAAGTACATGGGGACAACGTTGGAAGACAGACCTGTCAGGGGATGGAAGTAAAAACACCATCAGGAAACATTAGTCTGAGAGAGATCAGCTGCATCTCCAAACACACTTGTTCTTATCCAGTAATCACATTAGTTGGGCTGAAACTTTTGTCTCAAGGAGGCAAGAGTAAGCAAACACCTCTTTTAATTCTTCATCCTTTAAGCAATAGGGAAAAGAGAGAATAGTCTGAACCAAGGAAGTTCACAGACAAGCACCCTTGGTTTTCAACATGTGTCACCGGGGCCAGGGGACATGGGTGGCCTGACCTCTGGGCTGCCCTCCTACCTGGCTTCATGTCAGGGAAGAAAAGCCCAGGTGTGGTCTGGCACCTTGTCCTCTCTGGCTCCTTGGGAGACTCTGTTCAGACGAGGCCAAGGACCCCTGCCCACCGGCTCCACCTTCTGAGAAGGTATATCACGTAACAAACTGATGCACAGATGCCCACATAGACACCGAAGCACTAACTCTATTTATCAGTAAGCATGACAAATGTAAATATATATCATAAAATAATTGCTACCTCAGATTTCTGGAATCCCCACTATTTAAACTTTTAAGTTTTCTCATCTTACTGAAACAAGATAGAATAGGTGGAACTTAATTTTATAGGCTCTAAAGTATTTTCACATATATCATCCCATTTAATTCCCCCAAAAGCCCAACAAGAGGCTGAGAATCTTGGATGGAGGTCAGCTGGGTTGTTAGTACCCCAAGGATGGGACACCCAGTCACGAGTCAGGCTGGGGCTCCAAAGGATGAGGCTCTAAGAGGAGGCTCCAGCCACAGGGAGGCCGAGGGGAACCGTGTAGGGCTCATGGAGATTGGAGCTGCTGGCAGCGGGTGGGTATTTGATGACATCCAGACAGGAAGGAATCTTTTGAGAGCCAAGTGTTCAATCCTTGCGATTCTGCCCAAGGATATCTGCTTAGTGTTTTAAAAGAGGCTTGCTGCTCATTCACATTGGCTCGTCCCAGTTGTCGGAGCAAAGAGGGGCAGCCTTTGCAGCAGCTCTGAGAAGTCTGGTGGGGTGTGCTGGGGGGAGACCCTTGCAGGCTTAGTGCCCAAAGGGCTGGGAGGAGGCAGGGGCCCTTGACGGGTGGGCTCCTTGGTCACCACTCAGAACCCAGGGTGGGGAAGCCCACATCTCAGCAGCAAGTCTCTTAATTAGGGACAAAATCAAAGAAGCAAACATCAGGAGGTTTGTGAAGAGATGGGTCCTCTTCATGCTCGTGCGAAGCAGTCTCTATTCTGACTTAAAAGAGACTCTACTGGGCAATCCCAGCTGGCCCATTTGGACAGAGTCCGGGAAAGTGGCTTTTACATTTGAAATTCCTTCGGTGAATGTGCCTGGTGCTCTTGCCACGCGACTTGGCCAACAGTGAGCCGGTGAACTGAGCATCTCAAGTCCCACTGTCTGTCCCTGCACTGCTGTTGTCCCATACCCCTTTTGGCAGAGCAGCTGTTCACTTCCTTTTTAGGAAGTCTGAGTAGCATGCTGCTGTCTCACACACCTTCCTGACTTTTTCCAGAGCCATGTGAAAGAATTAACTACAAATGCATTATGACCTCAGATCCAAACATGATCTGAGGACCCAGGAAACTCCTGACACCTTTTCAGGGGGCCTGTGAGATCAAAACTATTTTCCAACCATCCCTGGATAGTGCCCTGTTCACTCTTGTCCTCGTGAGCACACAGTGGAGCATTCCAGAGGCTACACAACCAGCGGGGCACAGAAGCAGGTCTGAGAAGCCAGCTGTCTTCTATGAAGCCAGACATTAAAGAGATTTGCAAAAAATGTAAAGCAATGCCACTCTTCTTACTAAGTTTTTTGTTGTTGTTGTGTTTTGGCATACACAACTCTTCTCATAGAGACATGTAATGGGCTTTCTGTTGCCATTTAAGTCAATTAAATGAACATTTGTTGGTTGCAATTTCTAAATGGCAAATATTGACCAATACAACCCACATGAGAAAGAAGCTCTTTGGAACCCTCAATAATTTTAAGAGTGTAAGAAGGGCCTGAGGCCAACACGTTTGAGAACTGCTGACTTCAAAGTAATGCTTATTTAAGAGTAAAGGTTGGGAGTTTTGTGATTTGTTCTCTTTTGGAGTCTAACATTTCCCTGTTGGGACCAACTCTGAAGTGCCGGATGGTCAACAGAAAAGGGCCTGCCTGCACCTGCCCACTGCTGACACCTGCCAGAAATCAGCCCTGTTTCATTAGCTGAGTTCCAGCAGGGGCGGCAGGAGGCAGGAAGAGGGCCAGGCACCCTCAGGGCTCAGGCCTCGGGCCATCCAGCGCTCTCAGGGAAAGCTGTACCAGAGTAGCTTGTCATGGGGCCTATCACTTTCCTTGACAGGACCTCTTCTCTCTTCAGGGATCTTATTTTCCTCTTCTCCTGGACTCCGTAGTTCCTCAACATTTCCCCTAACACCACCTCCTCACCATCTCCCCCATTGTCCACTAGCACCAGCTGAGGGACTTGCTGGCTTCCAGCCAGCTCAATCATTTATCCTCATTTCCATACTTGAAGGAGAAGATGAGAGCTGCTGGCACTGCCAGGACCAGGTGCAGGGTTGCTGGCAAGGCACCCAGGATGCAGCATTTTGGGGGCGCCCACCCTGGATGCCCACCCTGAAGGCAGGCGCACGGCCCCAAAAGTAGGTGTCCTGCTCGCTCCCACCAGCCCTGGGAAGTACAGTCTACAAAAGAATGTCAGATTGGGGAAAGGCCCCACGCATAGATTTAACCCCATCTCTTCAGTCTGAAGCAATTATGGGGGAGCTTCCTATGACCACCAAAGGATGGCCTCCAAGGATAGCTTTGGAGGGTTTGCAAAATAGCTCTGGGACTTATGAAGCGAGAGACCCCAATGAGTCATTGCCTTGGAGGAGTAAATGAAAACAGGCCCCTGAAAAGCCCATCGCAAACATCACATAAAAGTTGTGATCACATTCCCCATAAAAGTTGAAAGGCTGCTCTCATTAAGAAGGATTCATGGGGGCAGCCCCAGTGGCCCAGTGGTTTAGTGCCGCCTTCGGTCCGGGGCATGATCCTGGAGACCCAGGATCGAGTTCTGCATCGGGCTCCCTGCATGGAGCCTGCTTCTCCCTCTGCCTGTGTCTCTGCCTCTCTCTGTGTGTTTCTCATGAATAAATAAATAGAATCTTTAAAAAAAAAATAAAAGAAGGATTCGTATGTTGGATTGTCAACATGCTTTTTTTGACCAAGACCCACTAAAAAAACAGAAACCTGTTTTATATTGCAACCCGATTTTCACACCCGTATAGATAACCAAAACGAAAGTTGCAGAAGACAAGTCTTATCTCTACAGCACACGACACAGTCTACTCTGCCTAGAACAAGAAAATGCAGCTCACCAATCAAGGGTCACCACCCACTCACCGTCCCTCCTGCAGTTGAGAAAACACAAAGATAAAGGACCAGACAGGAAGCGAGCTTCTGAACAGAATTCTGTATTTCTGACTTTCACAGAACGGCTCTCTTCACCAGAAGTGGCACAGGGATGCTCTGCCCTTGGCCACCCCCGAGACTAAGCCCCCGATCCAGAGTCTGGTTCAGGGCAGAGGCAGAGGAGCAGCCTCTATCTCCATTCTTCAGGGGTCCCAGAATGGTCTGGACCCTGGTGCCTGCCCCTCCTCATTGATTATCCTTTTTTTTTTTTTTAAGTATTTTGTGTATTCACAGGATACCTTAAACTTAAAGTCATATGAATGACATGAGGGTTGGGAAGGAGGAATTGGGAATATAAGGTTACAAGTTCTTTTATGTAATGTGTGAAGCAGTTTATTATTGATTGAAAAGTACACTCTAATCATTTGTAAATGTACATTTTAAATCCTATGCTGACCACTAAAAAAATCTTTAAAATAAGATATAGAAAAAAAATAAAATAAGACATAGAAATAATGTACCAATAGAGGAGATAAGATGGAATTGTTTTAAAATTTTAAATAATTATTTTAAATTAAATAAAATAATTGTTTTAAAATTTCAACTCAGGTTCTCGATCATCCTAAATTACAGAGTGGTAGCACAGGGTAGTATCATTTACCTGCACATATTCCCACCAAAAGTCTGGACAAAATGATCATCTCAAACGACCGGGCGACCTCACTGCACCCCATTAAGATGGCGGGAACTATGGAAAAGATGTTGTTGAAGAGCAAGGTCCCTTTCCTGCAGAGGAGGAAATCTCAGTTAGCCTGGGTGCAGGATTCACTTATTCATTTAAGAGATAGATGTTCACCAACTGTCCGCCCAGTTACAGCATCGGGCTCTGTGGCTGCTTTATGCTCTCTGCAGTCGAAGACTGACAGGTCAAGTGCACAGCCTGGTGTGGGAACATTCTCTCTGTGAGACAGTGGAAATGACCACAGTGCGCAGCACATCAGTGGTGGGGAGCAGAGGGAAAGAGCCACATAGTACAATACACTCAAGGGTTTTTGAAATCGTAAACTCTCATGATGTTAGTGTAATCTTGAAACCAGATCGGATAAGGACATTAGAAGGAATGGGTAGGCCAACCTCACTTATATTACATAGATGGAAAAAGTGTGCATGAAATATTAGCAGACTGAATCCAACAGCATATATAAAAATCTTTTAATGTTTTAAAATGCCAAACAAGGAATGCCTGGGTGGCTCAGTGGTTGAGCATCTGCCTTTGGCTCAGGGTATAATCCCGAGGTCCTAGGATCGAGTCCCGCATCGGGGTTCCCAAATGGAGCCTGCTTCTCCCTCTGCCTCTGCCTCTGCCTCCCTCTCTCTATGTCTCTCATAAATGAATAAATAAAATCTTAAAACAGAAAAACACCAAACAAAATAAAATGCCAAATCTGGGAAAAGCAAAATTGTAATATTTTACAAATTATAGACAATCATTGTGACTCCAGATAGAGAGGGAAGGCTGTCATCAGACACAAAAAGCAAAAACCATAAAGGAGAGTTAAGTCTGTCCACTCGAACATTTAAACATCTTGTATGAAAAAGATACTATGTGTGTGATTAAGCAATAAAGCAAGAGATCAAGAAAATACTTGCCTGATACAACAGTGTTATTTGGACACGCCCAGAGATGGAATTTCCTCCTAGCTGTATAATCTTGGCTAAATTACAGCATGGGAAAATGTTTTCCTATTTTGAAAAAGGAGGCGGGGGCTTTTGTAGGATTGGAAGAATTAATAACCCTAAAAGTGTTCAGGATAGAGCCTGGCACAGAGGAACCCATCAATAAATTGTTGGTTGCTACTGTTATATAAGGAACAGATCCTTAGGAAAACCACAAAAAACTGAATAGCATTTTTCATCTTCTCAGGCAGACACTGGACAAGCAACTGTCTGCTCCATCTGTGGACCAAAAGGACCAATGGACCAAAGTCCTTTCCTTAGAAGGCTCGTCCTTCAAACCTGTGATTGATTAACGTCCTGCCCCCCAGGGAAAACTGCTCAGTTCAACACCAAACTCCCAGGAAGACCTTAGGATTTTAGATCCCAAAGCAGAGGTTGTATGTTTCTAATCTCATACTCTTTTTGAAAAATATTGGAGAAGGCACTGGGTTCTGGTCTTGACTCTTAAGCTAAATAGATCTGTGGCCAAGAAGACAATTTGACCTTACCTAGCCTCTGAGCTTGTCTGCCAAGGGAAAAGGCTGGTGGGGTGGGACTCTTAAATACTCTTAATAACAAAACCACTTTTTCATGCCCATGGAATTTACACCAGGGAGTGTGATGTCTTAAGGACCTTTTTTGGAATCAAACATTAGAGATTCTTGATCTAGAATTAGGGGCAAAGATTGAGTCTCAGTCAGTTAAGCATCTGTCTGCCTTTGGCTAGGGTCATGATCCCAGAATCCTCGGATTGAGTCCTGCATTAGGCTCGCTGCTCAGCTGGGGGCCTGCTTTCCTCTCTCTCTCTCTCTCTCTCTCTCTCTCTCTCTCTGCTGCTCCCCCTGCTGTGCTGTCTCATTCTGTCAAATAAATAAAATCTTAAAAAAAAAAAAAGGAAAAAGAAAAGAAAAGAAAACAGAAATCATCACAGCAGTTATTACCTAGTTTTACAAACAAAAAAACCATTTCAGTTTTGGCCCTCGGTTTTAAATAGTTGGGATCTAGGAGCTTCAGGAGCTGGGAATTCACATCGCCTTACCTGCCAAGTTTATTCACCAAGGGGCCGACCATGAGGGATCCGATGAAACCTCCAAAGGGGAACATGGACACGGAGACAGACCAGAGCAAGGTCAAGGAAAACTCATTTATGTAGTTATTGTTACGTTCAAAATAGGTCTCATTATAAAATGCTTTCATGAGCTGGAGAACAAAGAAGAAGAGAGTGCCACAATAACTTGACCTGGTTTTGCAAAAAGAATCCCGTAAGCTGCTGGGCCAACCGACAGATGGCCTGGGCACTAGTAAAGTGAAAGGGAAAAAGGATGAAGTTGTATGAACAGCAATTAGCCCGGGCACCAGCACAGGGAGCTGCCAGGCCTCTGATAAGCTCACTTCCCCCAAAGTTCCGAACTCCAGTCCTCTGGTCCTTTGCATGAGCCCTGACCCTCCAGAATCCTCTGGACAGTGCAAGGCTGCAGAAGACCAGAGCCCCCACCTGCAATCCCGAGCCAGCCCCAGCATGCACAACCAGGCCTGGCTCTCCAGGAGAAGCTGAGGCCGGGGGCACTGGGCCCATCCCCGTGGTCCTGTGCCCACCAGTCACTCTCCTGGGCTTGTGCTGTGTGTCTCGTGGGTATTTCCCTCTCCTGTTACCTGAGGACACACTGTGTGCCCGGGTGTGTACCTACTGCCACCCTTGTGGACATGCCCAGGCCCAGGGAGCTCCAAACCCCCCTCCTCACTTGTGGGTGGCTGTGTCTCACTCACCCCAGGGACCTACCTCGGCAGGGGAGTTAACGGCGGCCACGTTGTACCCATACTGGAAGGATGACCCAAAGGCTGCTATCAGCGTCGCCAGTGAAAGTACAAGTGTCAGCCTCTGCGGGAGGAGGAGAAATCCTGGCTCAGGTCATAGGAGGCGCTGGGGTTCAAGGGAACTCCTGATTTACTCCGATGTCATATAGAAGGATGCCAGAGAATCTGAAGATCCGTAGTCTTTCGACCGCTCCCTATCTTGAAGCCTACCTCTACCCACCTAACCTGGTAGGTTCCCTGAACCGTAGCACTTACGGCCAGATAATTCTTTGCTCTGGGGAGCTGTCCTGTAGGCACTATAGGGCCACCTGTCCCCTACCTGTGACAACCCAGAGTCTCCAGACATTGCTAAATGTCCTCCGGGCTGGGGGAGGCAATTGCCCCTGAGAACCGCCGGGTCAGAAAGACACCGAAGGCTCACCTACTCCAACACTCTACCTCATGTCTGAAATGCTTCCATAACATTCCTACCACGGGGCTGTATGTGCTGACAGTAGCAAATGCACTCAAGTCCTGCCTTAAACACAAACTCCCCTAAAAATCAAAAAGAAGAAAAAGTGAACAATTTTAATTGTTTCTTGAGGGCCACTGATTAACTTTCTTTAGCCTCTGGACTTTTGATGGAACAGGCACACAGAGAGAAAATATATAAATCCAGGTTTCTGGGGACTCAAACACGGGTGTTCTGTGATCATATCCCTCTTTGATACATGAGGAAAATGAATACTTTTTAATGGCAAGAGGAAGTCATTAGCAAGATCATGAAAAGCTGGAGAAAAAAGTGGAAAAAGCTTCTCTTAGAATCTATGGATTCTATAATATGTTTGCCCATTGCCGCTTGCTAGCTTAATTGCAAGAATCTCCAGTTTCCTTATCTTCAAAAGGAAGGTCATCACACTCCCTCAGAGCTGTTACAAGGTTGAATTATGAAAGTGTCGAGCTATGGAGGTGAATCCACAGACAAGGACCTGGATGCAGCTCTCAGAAGACTTCCCTGAGCACCATCATCCATGTGCTCCCATGGAGGTCCCATCCAGGGGACACATGCCCCCCATGGGCAGCCGAGGCCCTCAGGTCTTCCTCCCGGCAGTGCCTCTGCAGCGAGTTAAGTGAAGAGCAGGGCAGGGAGAGAACCTGTAGCCATCCCTGCCTTGTCCTGGTGCCCCGGAGAGCACGAGCTGGTGCTCCATACAGCAGGAGCAGGAGCAAGACCTGCAAGGAGCCCCCATAAATGAAACCTCGCCCTTCCCCTCCCTCCACCAAATGAATGAACAAATGGTTAGTTAATTCAGCAGGAAACTTCTGGTAAGGGAGATAAGAGCCGTGCGCTCCGGTTTCCAGCCTCTCCTCAACATCCACCATCCCCTAAAGGCAGGTGCATAAACAGGCACATGCACACACACACACCCCACCCCAGATGCAGGACGGGGCTGAACTAGCTCACCTCCCACCTGAAGTGCTCTGGGCAGTCAGTCACTCAAATGGGAGCCAGGCATTGTTCTAAGTGCTGGGGATATAGTGGAGAACAAAACAAAGTCCCTCCCCTGTGGCTGTTCTATTGCTTGATTTCGTGGAAGGGAGGAAGGAAGGAAGGAAGGAAGGAAGGAAGGAAGGAAGGAAGGAAGGAAGGGAGGGAGGGAGGGAGGGAGGGAGGGAGGGAGGGAGGGAGGGAGGGAAGGAAGGAAGGAAGGAAGGAAGGAAGGAAGGAAGGAAGGAAGGAAGAAGGAGAAAAGTGATAAAGTTTTCCTCTTCTAATTCTCTTCTAGGTAAATGATTAACTAGAAACACAACAGGCTTCACTCATGCAACTCCTGACCACTTTCTACTTTGATGGGTCCTATGGTTTGAAGTCCTTAGCAAAGCTCTGCTGGGGAGCTGGCTGGTGCCCCAGAATGCGGGAGGCTGCCAGGCGTCCTGGACAGCCAGCAACCTGACAGCTTTTATGAGATCCCAGGGAACATTATCAGAAAGAACTCAGGCTGTAGAGTCCCTAAGCATAGAGCGTACAATTTAACTTCTATGCTTTTTGTCTTCCTCCTTGAATTCAAGAATGTGCCATAGGCACATGCAGGCATAGGGTCTATGGACCTGTAGGAGTCAGGGGTTACCCTCTGTCGAAACAGCAAAGACATTCTGGGTAGGTTCTCACTGACCACGCTGGTCCAAATGCCTTCATTCATTAAACAAATAGTGGTTGACAGCTGACTATATTCCAGACACCACGCTACAGTCTGATGAGCAGATCAGCTGCCCTCAACATCATGGTCCAATGGGGAAGGCGGATATTTAAAAAAAGACATAGTATTTTAATAGTTTAACTATAACTGTAGTGAGCTCTACAAAGAAAAAACCCAGAAATGGTTTAAAAGAGGTGTCAGAAGTGTCAGGGAAGAGGGTCCCAGGTGAGGCATGGCTGAGCCAGGGGCAGAAGTACCAGCTCTGAGGACCATTTAGGGAGCAAAATCAAAGCACTGGTACCCCATCAGGAAAATGCAAATCGAAGCTACAATGAGATACTGCTTCTCACTCACAAGGATGGTTAAAATCAGTAAGACAGGTAGTAAAAAGTGTTGGCAAGGGGAAGATTGGGACCCTCTCGTGTTGCTGGCAGGATTGTATGATGACGCATTCGCTTTGGAAAGCCTCACAAAGTTCAACAGAGTAACCGTACGACCCAGCAATTCCACACACAGGTGTGTACCCAAGAGAAACCAAAACGTGTTCGTGCAAACAGTTGAACACAAATGTTCCTGGCAGCATTATTCATAGAGGCCCCCAAAGGGAAATGATCCAAATGTCCATGAGTTGAAGAATATACCAACAGGTGCAGGACATCCATGCAATGGAAGATGATTTGCCCAAAGGAAGAGCAAAGGACACACACTACAAGTGCCCTTCAGCACTGCAAGGCGCTGAGATGTCTGCCTCCATCTTTGTGAAATGTCCAGAACAGACAAATTCACAGAGACGGAAGGTAGATTGGTGGTTGGCAGGGGCTGGGGAGAGATGTGGATTACTGCCGGTGGGTACAGGGTTCCTCAGGGTGATGGGAATGTTCTAAACTTGATCATGCTGATGGTTGCCCAACTGTGAATATTCATGGGTATATTTTATCCAAATTGCATACTTTTTAAAAAAGATTTTATTTATTTATTCATGAGAGAGAGAGAGAGAGAGAGGCAGAGGGAGAACCAGGCTTCATGCAGGGAGCCGGATATGGGACTCGAACCTGGATCTCCAGGATCATACCTCGGGCCGAAGGCGGTGCTAAAACCACTGGGCCACCGGGGCTGCCCAAAACTGCATACTTTCAAGGGGTAAACTGCATGATCTGCGAGTTATGTTCTCAGTAAAGGTACTATATGTAAAAAAGGCATGTAAAAGAAAACCATGGTTTACGCTTTCTTCTTTTTCTTCCATCTATCTTTCTTTCCTTTCTTTCCTTCTTTTCTTTCCTTCTTTTCTTTTCTTTCTTTCTTTCTTTCTTTCTTTCTTTCTTTCTTTCTTTCTTTCTTTCTTCTTTCTTTAAAAAGATCAAGTATTGAGCTGGATTAGGGCATGAGCGAGAGCCACGCAGGTCTTCCAGCAGCTTATATAAATGACAAGTGGCCTTCAGACATGAAGGGGGGGGGGGGCGTGTATCCTCAGAGGCCAAGGGGAGCCATGACTCAGCTATGCTTTTGGGAGAAATCGCACGTTCTTCATGCCCACAGCAAACTGGTTTCCTGTTTCATAACCATGAACACATTTTGAGACTTAGTAAAATAGCAGCCTTCGGGGTCCGTCTTCCAAATGGGTGTGATTCAAGGCTGCTGGGAAGGGAGCCCTGCCCCAAGCGAATCCCTTTGGGAATTTGCTTCCTGGATCCATTCCCGCTGTCAGGGATCTCCCAGAAAAACACACACATCTCCAGAAAAATTAGTTCTTATGAATTATTAACTCTGAATCACTTTCTCACACTATTGATCCCAAAGTTCACAAACGGAAAGGGAGGGACAGAGAGGTGCCTTGTCTTGTGGCCATGGTGGTTTAGAGCACTGGGCAGAGTGAGGGGGGAGCCCAAGAGCCTGGGATCGGATCCCAAGCTCCTGCTGCTCGCTGGGTGGACCTGGGCCAGTTACTGGGCTTCTCTGTGTCTCAGATCCTTCACCTGTAAAAGGAGGAACCATACTCCCTCCCTCATAGGACTGATGTGAAGAATGGATGAGTTTATACCTGAAAAACACTAGAGCCACACCTGGCTTAGAGTAAGTGCTACACACAGGCTTGCTATCATCATCATGAGCAGCGATAGAGTCAGAAGGGAGGTTACCTGTTCCAAGATGCTAGGTGTTTTGATGGTGGATGTACCCCCTAAAATTGTGTGCTTTCATTTTCTAAAATGCTTGGACTCCCCCTCCACCCCCGTCCAGGCCAAGAGTCCTTTCCCTTGGTAAAAAGTCCTTAATGCCCATTGGTTAGATTCTCGTCTTTTCTTTTTTACTTATGAAGAACCTAAAGGCCAGTGAGCCCATGGTCACACAGCCAATGGGGGACAGAGAGCTGGACTCCCTCCATCAGCGCACACAGTCCCTGCTTTCTGCAGGCTTCCCAGGGGCTCCCACTTTCCCTCACCTCCTAACCGCCCCCCTCCCTTCACTCAGTAATCTGCAGATTCTTACCAGCAGCCACCATGGGAATCATTTTGTTTTCGGGTATCCCAGGAAGCCCAGCACGTGTCCTGGCTTTTGTCCAAAGGGGCAGGTCTGCCCTCAGGCAGCCAGGAAGGGATAGCCTTCATCCCACCTGCCACTGGAGGAGGCTTCCTCCCTTGGAGAATCCAGGGAGCCTACACCTGCTTGTGACCATTTTAATCATATCCTTTCAAAATGTGTTGCTTCTTTTCAGGGACCACCATGCGGGGTGTTCTTCTGCAACCTCTCCCAGGGGCACAGATGGCCAGCATGTTCCTCCTCTTTGAAGAGAGGGCACAGAGCAGCTGAGGGCCTCTCTTGACCCCTGAGCCCCTAAGTTCTTGCCACCGCACAGCCCCTTTTATATAAAATAGGGGGGTTAACACTGAGCAGTATAATGATTCCTTAGTTGTCACGAGAGTCTAACAAGATCCATGTAAAGGTGCTCAGCAACCTGGAAAGCTCTGATTCTCTGGGTATGAGAACACCTCTAATGAGAAGGCACTAGGGATGTTACTCAACATTCTGCAATACTCAGGCCAGCCCCTCACAGCAAAGAATCTTCTGGTCCCTGGGGTGCCTGGGTGGCTCAGTGGTTGAGTGCCTGACTTTGGCTCAGGTCGTGATCCCAGAGTCCTGGGATCTGCCTCTCCCTCTGCCTATGTCACTGCCTCTCTCTCTCTCTCATGAATAGATAAATAAAATCCTAAAAAAAAGAAAAAGAAAAAGAAAAAAGAAAAGAAAAGAAAAAAGAATCTTCTGGCCCCAAATGCCATTAGTGCCCTGCTCTAAAGGGTGAGCAAAGTAATATCTGTTATGGGGGAATCATGATGTACCAGGTATTGTGAGTACATTATCTCATTATTTGCTCCAGCAGCCCTATGAAACGGTAGGGTTATCATTCCCATTTTACAGATGCAAAAGCTGAGGCACAGAGCAGTTAAATAACTTGCCCAGGTTCCCACAGCTAGAATAGGATGGAGCAGGAACGGAACCAGGTGCTTCCAGCTCCAAAACCTACTCTTAACCCACGAGCTACAGAGCATGCTCTCAACCTGTCTGTGCTAATGGTCTCACATCCATGCCCGGTTCAATAATAATCTGCACAAATATGTACCTCTGCTGCCACAAATACAAGCAAATGCTGTTGCAGCAAATAAAATGCAAATTCCTTGAAAACGTTCATAGTAAATTCATAATCTTTCTCTCATTATGTATTTTCTTCAATGGGGAGACTGTCAAAGTACAATGGAAATGCTTTGAGTGAGGGGAGTGGGGTAGGAGGCAAGAGATCCAGAAACCAGGGAGCCTCTCATCTAAAAGGCTGGGAATCTCTGCTACAGATCTGAATTCGATTCGAGTCCTGCACAGTCTTTTCTGTGCCCACCTTCCTGCCATGTTGGCCCAGCCATGTGACTTGCCGAAAAACCTAAAGAAGATGTTTCTGAAGCCAAAATCCGAGCAGATCAAAATGCACCTCACCAGCAACATGTAAGGGTTTTGTGGCTGGTTGCAGAATGCCTGCCCTTCAAGCTTTTCTGGGGGAGGCAGTGGGGACAACTTAACCCTTTGCATCTCTTCAATTTGGTTGCAGGGATTTTTCAAAGCTGTTCCAATAGATCCCCGAACAATCTCTACATCTCAATATCCCCTAAACCTGTCCTCTAGTCCCTGTCTAAGTGAACTCTGAGGAGCACCTTCCTTCCAACAGAACCCCACCACCACCGCCACCCCCACCCAGCAATGCGGAGCACGCCCCGGCAGCAGGCTGCTTCGTGCTCCCTCCTTTGCTGGGAGGCCACTTACCCCCTCCTTCTTGGTTGGATCCTGTTGCTCCATCTTTGGTCTGCAAGCGTGGAGTGCTGCTTACTTCCTTTCAGCCAAAATAACAAATGCACTGAATAGAGAGAGAAGACATTCTGGCTGTACTTTGGCCGTGCCAAGTAACAGCCAATAGCATTTTTATAGCCAGCCCGAGACCGAATAACCCTTTCGGGAGTCCAGAGGTGCGTCTTCTTTCACTTCTTTTAAATGAACCGTCTGGGGTTTCGCTCAGCAAGCGGGCGCCCCCCCCAGGAGCGCAGGCACGGCGCGCCTTCCTGATTGGGACAGTCTGTGGTACGTGCTCGCTGCGAAAGCCTCCACTAGGCAGGCTCGTGATGAGTGACTGGAAGGGTTATTTCTGTCACAAACACGTGGAAAGCCGCTGGCCCCACACCATAGCAGGTAACCCGAGGGCAAGAGTTAGGGTCACCAGAGGCTTCTCAGAAGTGGTCCCTGCCAAGAAGCTTGCAGCAAATCCTTCCGAGAGGCAGCTTTTGCTCAAATAACCATGCCACACTTGCTCAGAGACTTTATTTTCCTTTGGAAGAACCAAGTGGCCTAAAGATGTGATTTTATGTGTAATCATCCCTACTGTAAAGGCAGTAGTTAGTCTGGATGTCTTTATCTACAGGGCAGGGAAAGTGAGTCACGGCTGCTGGTTTGGGTCCTCCATGCATGACCAGGCCACAGCCAGGCTCCTTATGCTCAGCACGTGTTCAGCCACCATGAGGCACCCCCGGGTCAAGGGGCCAAAATCCAGAGCAGAGTCCCACAAGGCCCGCAGGCTTTCATCTTCACAGGATATATTTCCTGTTTTATTTGCTGTGGCAGAAATCCAATTACTTCAGCCATTCCTCCCTCACAAGGAGAAGTTAATGGGGAGCCTGCAGTGTGCCAGGCCCTGTTCCTCCCTCAGTAGCAAACTTGGGAATTGTAACCAGTTTCCTGTATGAGGGGGACTGTGAGGAGGGTGGCTGAGAGTTTCTGTGTGTGAGTTGGGGGCCCCCTGCCCCTCTCACAAGAGAGGATTGGCCATTTCCACCCCTACCAGCTCATTCCCTGTCCGTTCCCTGTGTCATAGCATGATGCCCGGTGAAGCTTTGGCAAGACCAGAGGTTCCCAGTTATTTCAGAGTTTTGAAAAGTTGTGCAAACAAAAAGAATCAGCCTTAGTTGGCAGTCCTGGGTCATGCTCGGGCCCTCCTGCCCCGGCTTCTGTGGATACTGGGCATCATGGGCATGGCCGTGTGTCACCAGTGCTCCAGTGTGGCCGGCCAAGGGGGCACAGACCCACAGCGGCTCCAGCGGCTCCAGCCCCTCGCCTGGGCCCCTGCCACCGGGACCATCAGGGGAAGCACCCAAGGGCTCCAGGCTGCACCTCCTGCAGGTGCTCTGTGTCCCTGCTTGGTCACTCCCACTCTAGGACCAGACCCAGCAGCCTAGGGTCTCTGGCGGCTGTTGGGCCCATGGAGGGGCCCTTGGGCTCCTGGGATCTGGGTGTTCAAATGGAGGAATAGCCCATTGGAGGAGGTATACTCCTGGCAGGCCGACTGGGGATGTATGGCCTGTGCCCTCCCCCTGCAAGTGGTCTCTGGGTGTAGTGGGGGGTGGGTGGAGGGGTCCTCAGACTCAGTCCTCTGGGTCTCGCCTTCCCCGACCAGCCCCAGCCCGGACTAGGAGAGGAATCTGCCAATGGAAGCCTATTTTTGCCTTGTGGTTTAAAATGACAGTAATGAACAACACTGATCAACCCAAGGACAGGCTGAGGCGTGTCCCAGGATCACGTACAAATATTTCCAGGAAACTGTATGCATTTTGAAGCTACTTCTATCAGAGCCAAGGAACCACTCTTAAAGGAAAAGTGGATACTTGCAGGATATTTGGTACAGGCAGGGCTCTTCTGACTCTCTTCCCCATCTTCCATACAGTTTGGTTCATCATGGGGAAATTATATTAGGATTTTATCATTGAGGGAGAGAAGGACCCAAAGCCAATTTTCCTCCTTCTCCAGAGGGCCATATATTAGGTCCCCTCTAACCTCTCATGACGCTGAAAGTGCTTGCCAGGGACTCTGCTGTGAGGATTTGGGTCCCAGATCTCAACTCCCAAATTGTTTTTACTAACATAAAATGTAAGTATGTTAGCACACAAATTTAGAAGACGTATCAGAATCTGACTGGCTAGTTATTTTGGGATGTGAGATCACAGATGATTTTAACCCTAGTGTATGTTTACATACATACATATGTATATTTATTTATTTATTTATTTATTTATTTATTTATTTATTTAAAGATTTACTTATTTTAGAGAGAGTGAGAGCATGAGTGGGAGGAGGGGTTGAGGGAGAGAATCTCAAGCAGACTCCCCACTGAGCACCGAGTCTGACCTGGGGCTTGATCTCAGGACCCTGAGAAATCGAGAGTCTGGATGCTTAACCAATTGAGCCACCCAGGTGCCCCTACAGTTAAATTTACTGAGCCTACTGTGATACTAGAAGGGGAATGCAACAGGGTTCAAAAATAAAAATCGCCTTCAGCCTCAGGAGGCTTAGACTCTAGTTGAGGACACAGCATAGTCAAATAAAGGCATTGATGAAGTTGATGAATTTGTATCTATAAAAGAGCTCTAAAGGTGGGGTGGAGGGCTGGTCAAGGAAAGGTTCTTAACAATGTGAGCTTGACTGTGACAGGAAGGAGGGATGAAAAGAGCTTACAGAGGCAAAGGGGGTAGGTCGGGAGGGGTTGGTGGACAGAGCCTTCCAGACAGGAACAATATGTGCCAAGGCCTGTGGTTGAGTGATGTCCTCAAGAAATTGCAAGGTCAGTGTGTCTGAGGAGCTGAGAGGAAGGGTGGAGGGAGGAGGCTGGCAGGTGGGCAGGACCAGACTAGATTTAGTACTTGCAGACCATGTGAGTTAAGGAGCTTGATTTTTGACTTAGGATAGCAGAGAGAAGGCATTAATAGTTTTGGAGAATGATCACATTTGTGTTTCTCCAGGTTCATGGTGGCTACGTTGAAACCTAGAGGGAACAGAAGATTAATGGATTTGGGGAAGAGGAGAGGGAGCAGCTCCTTTGCTGTACAACCCATGAAGGGTGGCCATGGCCTGGTGCAGTGTGGTGGAAGAGGTTAGAGAAGTAAATACATCCCAGAAATATTTAGTTGCAAAACTGATAAAATTTGGTGACAGGATGAGGGGAGGAGGAATAAGAGGACTTCTATATTGCTGTTGTAATAAAGAATCAAAATGATCTTTCTGGAAATGAAGCTTTTCAGAATTACAAGTTTCTATAGGAAAATTTAACAAAAATGTAAAATGTTGAATTGGCACCAGAAGGCCGGCTGGCAAATCCCTGGGCTGTTTTGAGACCAGACAATGATATTGGGACTTTGGGTCACTGCTGGTCTCACCTCTACTAGCAATGGTCTGGACTCTTCAAGTTTTGCTGCGGACTTCTTTTGAACAGACTGCTGTAGCTCCCCAGCCCATCCCCAGATCGATTAATCTCAGTCCCTCTTCAACAGTAATAGAATGTGGGGAAGGACCTCTGGCTGCTCAAAATAAAGACTGCGTTTCCCTATGGCCCTTGCAGTTGGCATGGACATACGATGAAGCTCTGTATTTCACAAAAGTGTTGTGGCTTCTAGGAACCTTGCTTTCTTTATCCCTTTCTCTTTCCTGCTGCCTGGAATCCAGATGCCACCAGCTTGGACCATGAGATCAAAGCTACATAAGATAAAGCCACAAGGCGGAAGGAGCTTGCACCCCTTACCCTGTGGAGTGCTAGTCCAGCCCCAGACTACCTACCTGGACTTCCCATGTAAGAAAATCCATTTAGAAGCTGTGAGGACAGGGACACCTGGGTGGCTCAGTGGTTGAGTGTCTGCCTTTGGCTCAGGTTGTGATCTTGAGGTCCTGGGAGCGAGGCTCCCCATAGGGAGCCGGCTTCTCCCTCTGCCTATGTCTCTGCCTCTCTGTGTGTCTCTCATGAATAAATAAATAAAATCTTTTTTTAAAAATCTGACTTTGGCTGTTTTCAATGAAAACAAATATATATACATATATGAATGAAAATGTCCTTACAGCTTCCTTTTTTTTTTTTAAAGATTTTATTTATTTATTCATGAGAGACACAGAGAAAGAGAGAGGCAGAGACACAGGCAGAGGGAGAAGCAGGCTCCATGCAGGGACCTGATGTAGGACTCAATCCCGGGACTCCAGGATCACGCCCTAGGCTGAAGGCAGGCGCTAAACCGCTGAGCCACCCAGGGATTTCCCAAAATCAGATTTTAAATTTTGATGAAACAGCTCTCTATTGGAAGTGAGAGGCCTAAAGACCTTTGTCGTAAAGGAAAAATGGAACCTCTCTAATGCTGGGTTCAAATGTCAGTGGAGGTTTACCCAGGCTGCTGTTTTCATTAGGACTGGATTTGGTTTTGTGTTCAGATTTAAAAATTGCATGAGATTTGAGTGGGTCTGCCCCAACCCTTTTCCCCCCCATAAACCCTATTATTTATATGTGCCACATGGTAGAACATCGGGGTTCTTTAGGAACATGTGTATGGCGTGATAGTAGAAATGCCTGCATGGGGACGCCTTGGTGATTCAGTGGTTGAGCGTCTGCCTTTGGTTCAGGGCGTGATCCCAGAATCCCGGGATAGAGTCCCGCGTTGGGCTCCCCTCGGGTGAGCTTACTTCTCCCTCTGCCTGTGTCTCTGCCTCTCTCTCTGTGTCTCTCATGAATAAGTAAATAAAATCTTATATAAAAAAAAAAAAAGAAATGCCTGCATGTGCCTCAGAGGGCACAAAATGAGGCTGCCTACCCCCGTGCTGCCCGCAGGTGGGATTGGAGGGAGGGGTGGGAAGGGAATGGGTCATCTCCATCCAGGTTTAGATAAGGAAGGAGTGATTAACAGGTCCTAGCGTGCACCCAGCTATCCAGGTGTGCCTTGCACTCTGGCTTTGAACAGGCAGTGCTCCTGGTGCAGTGAGGGAGGCAGAGGGGGTCTGGTCTATTGACATAAAACTTTTCAAGCCTAGGGCTCAGTGGGGCCAACCAAACACTACTGAGGCCTGCCACCTGGCCATCAGAACTCAACTCAGCATGGTGGGTAGAAGGAGGATGGAGAAGACATTATCTGATCCAAGCTAACTTTCTTGCTCCTTAGGCCAGTTAGGAGTTCTGACACTTAACCTGGCTCAAGATGCTATCAGGTATC